AGTTGAATATGATATATATATATATATATTATGACATTTTAATAAGTTTCAAAAATTGTACAATACATGTTTTAAGCATGTGTTTTAAGCAATGGTTCGAAAAATAACTTTCTAAACTGTTAAAGTGTATATACATATTATAATTTCATACATTTATGAATCTGCAAACAGTTTTGGATATTAATCTGTCCACTAAAAATGTGTCTAAAAAAATGTTATGATACGGAATATTCCAATTTAGATTTCAGTCAGTTACTTTATTTACCTACAAGGTAGGTATTAACTTTGATTATGTAAACAAAGCAGATTGGCTGAATTTTCGTGAAATATGATATAATTATAAATAAATATATCATGCAATAAATATATAAATATTCAAATAATAATATATTATAAAGTTATAATTTATTGTAAACAGAACATGTTTAAAAGCAATTTTTGTGCTCCTAATCAGAATTTCTCGATCTATTTTCGATTGCCCAAGGAATCCGCTTAACCACTGTTACTGCAGCACCCAACTCTGTAAATAGCCAATATTTCTCTGTTTATCACCTTTGTTTTATTGCAAATTATAAACTTCTAGTACTTTTCGTCGTTATATATCTATTCGTAATGTTTTCAATATTATATAGGTTTGCATGAAAAGCCCAAAACGACATAGGCTGTAAAAGACTACAGATATTAATAAACACCGTCGTGAATAATTTATTACATGTCTTTGTGAAAACCGCATTTGCATTGACGAATCTAAGGGTCGGATTAAAAAGTTCACTTTCTGATTTTTTTTCATTCCATTGAAAACCACGTTGAAGAAAAAATAATTTTTTTTTATGTTATGTCAACACACGGGTGTGTATAAAATTGTCACGATCATAATACATACGTTCAATATAATAATAATATAGCGATTGTGCGTCACTTTTCTGAGTACAAACGAGCTGAAACGGAAAACATACGATAATATTACTGCGGGAGGTATTTTTCACGATAATATGTGTATTTTCCAACCCGGGACCGTGGGATCAAACAATATCTATAAAATCAAATTTATATTTCCCAAGTGGCCCGCGAGGCCGTATTAATGTGTTCATTATATTCACGTTGCGATTGATTAAGCGAATGCTATTGCGAATATGAAGTTCTAATGCGTTAACGGAAATAACTTAATAATAATAATACAACGAACAAACAATGTAATGCAATGCAAATTATTGTAGCTATGTACTTTATAAAACGAGGAATTATTTTTATGTTCGGTTGTTCTAACCTTGAAAGTACGAAAATAATGTACAGAAATATGTTTTCGTATTAATTACATATATTTCTACTACACAACTATAGGAAGGATAATGGGTGAAAGAGTACGGGACACAGTTATTGTATGTCGAGTATTTTCTCGCAGCGAGAAACATTTCGTTACAATTATCATTGAAAATCCGAAAATATCCGAAATTATTTGCAGTCTTACGTTCAAACCATGAACAATATCATTCAAATAGCATTTATTCCCCGTTTCGAGAAATGTATTCGGGCATAACACGGTTGCCGCACAAAAAACCAAAAAAAAAAAAAAAAATGTGCATTAATTTATAATACACAATGTATATTATGTGTCAAAGGTCAGGTACACTAGCTGCGATATCTGAACGAATAAAAAAAAAATAAATAAATATGAAAAAAAAGGAATGAAAAATGTGTACGTGTTGCTGTCGTATGAAACTATACTTTTATGGCTACGTATTGCTAAGAACAAATAAACATATAACATCAACGTGTCGGGTATTGTTATCACGTCGCATGCGTAAATCGAAATCAATTACAACAAGAATAACGTCGTACAACGATAACGACACGTACTCGAAAATCCGTTGTTAACGAAATCCAAGTCATTAGTCCGATCGAGACGTTGAATACTCTAAAATAATTAAACTGAAATAATACAACAAGTAATGTACTCATCGCAAACCAATCGAACCTACCTACTGCAGTTATCCTTGTCGACTTACCGAAATATAGAGAACCGTTGTACATGACGACGGTGTAGTTCACCAAAAATAAAAAAAAAAAGTACTCAATATATAAGGTTTGTTGACCGACGTACTTCTTGTTGGTAATATTTTCCACACATAAGGAACAGAAATCCACAAAAATAGTTACATTTTTTAGTAGTTTAAAGAAAAAAAAAACAAGAATTGATAAATCCAGGCAATTATGTATATAATTTAAGACCTCTAAAATTTTACGAGTTTTGATGTTCGTTATACAAAAAAAAAAAAAAAAAATTGTACTTTAAATTATTACCATAACTATCGACTACGTCGTAGTATTAAGATTTAATGCTCATAGTTAATGTTAATTAAATTTATTATCATTCTGAATTGAATTTGAGTTTCTTTTTCTTAATTTTTAATAAATTGTACACTTAATTGTCTTTCGGAACGCTAGATTATTTCTAATTTGTTGATAAAAATGGATTTGTTTTTTAATAACATGTACGGGTTCACTAAAAACAATCAATTTACTTTAATGATGTTTAATGCATGTCTATAATATGACTAATTTTTATTAAGTCTTATATTTTTTATTTTCTTATTTTATTTTTTCGTATTTTAGTCGATAAAATCCAACACATTTCCTGCACGTCTACAGTGTATACTGTACACTTATTAATCGTATTTACGTATTCATTCGTCAAATGATTAATTTTATAATATTGCTCTTATTTTTTTTTTTTACATCTATGATATACAATGTGTAATTATCTATATAATAGTAATATTTATATATACATATATAAAGTAAATAATTGTAATGAAATGTGAAATAATTTTGGTAAACATCTAACTAATAACATAGCGATGTAGTGTAGAAGAAAAAATAATAAGTTTTGAGATTTTTGAGGTTTTGGTAACATAAATAATTAATTAAATAATATATTATATATTTAATATTATAATATTAAAACTAATCTCTATCATAGAATATCTAATAAAAATAAATAAGTAAAAATTAAATCTAAAAACTTTCTTAATGCGCTTCCAATAGCTAAAATCAATTTTAAAAATGTCTTAATACCATAATTTTTTTTTATAGCATGCCTACTTTTTATCATCCGATTTTTTGAAACACTATAATAATAAAATATAATTATTTAAATGTGTAGTAGAGTTTTAATAAAGTTCAGAAAAAAAACTTCCTCGTCATAACAAACGGCAGTTTATATTACATTTTTTTTTTTTTTTGTTCAAACTTTCATCACTGTAAACGAAATACGTCAAAATTTCTAGCAAAATTATATTAAAATTAAATGCTGTCCGATTTACTTTAGTATCTCGAAGTTAACGCTTGTGACAAAATGCACGTTTAATTTCGGAACCGATCATAATATAGCACACGCCATGATTATAATAATAATATTGCCGTACGTGAAACTCGTATCACAATTCATTATACAATGAATATATAGTTCATGTGTAGGTCCTTATTACCGAATATGCACTGTGACTAGAGCCTTCCAAAAATGGTGACTTATATAATTTTTAATTATAACTACCTACTTAATTATAATTTAATTAAAAAATTCGAAAATATATTAAAAAAAATATTGTATTAAATTTTGGTAAATGTAATATTCATTTATTGATTTCATATGTAAAAACAAATTATTTATGACATGGATTTTTCATAATGTAGAGAAAATGTTTAGATTTCTCAAATAACTTAATCCGAACTTATATATATGTAAACATAAGGTGTATAGACTGGGTGGGGCTAAAATTAAAAAACGTCTACAGCACAAACCTTTTTTAACTTTATTATATTTTTATTGACATAAGGAATAATACTAATACAGTTACTAAAACAGTTCGTCAATATCATTATATTATTTTCTGCATTGTCAATCATAACCTGCTAAAGATGATATTAGCGCATCTAACTTTGAAATCTACTCATTAGTCCGAAATAGAATAACATAATTTACAACATTTAGCGTTACTCGTTAGTATAATACATAATATGCATTATTATTATTATTATATAATATATTTATAATATCATTTATAATATTATAATCAAATAATAATTATTAAAGTAAAATGTGCAGTAAAAAAAAAAAAAAAAATATAACTGCAAAAATAGATTTTATTAGGAATATTATTAAGAATTTCAACAACAAAAAATTAAACCATGTTCATCTTAACGAAAATTTACTAACTGATAATAGAATATGTATGTTCCCTGAATGTTTATTATTTTATTAATCCGAAAATACATTTTGAAAATAGTGAAATCAATAACAATTGTAAAATTAATAATTACTACTTTTACTAGTACTTTTTACACCGTACAATTTTTAGAGATGTAATCTTATCGATATTTACGAAAAATAAGTTATTTAATGAAAATATTGAATTCCAGCCATCAATATAAGATAAAGATTAAAAATATTCCACATTAACCGATTCACACGTGTTGGTTTTACGCATAGTTTTTTTTGAAGATAAAATGTTTTGGATAAAAAAATCTGCATCAAACGTCAAAATGTATATTTTATCGCAAAAATCGATTAATAAATTCAAGTACGCATCATGTATTAATGTTTTAAAAGGAAAACGTATATTTTTACCGTCGACAAACGAAATTTAACATATTATTAAAATATTTGTTTGACCTTAAGAAAATTGACCTATACAATATTATGATATTCTTATACTATATAATTTATTTTCAACTAAATAATTTTGCCGTCATTTATTTTTTATTTATCCAGAGAACACCACAAGAAGGCGATACTCTTAGTTCTCAGAAAAATAAAATTGTTTTTCAGTTCACAAAAATGGTAAATTTAACAAATTCAAAATTTAATCTACAATATTTATTAAAACGTATAATTAAAAAATCAAATTTACACAATATTTATAAAAAATATTTCGGTATGCGCTTTACAGGTTTTTCTCGATCTAGATTCAATAGCGACTGAATTTTTTATGCATTGTTATTTATTTGCTATCGATTTTATATATTAATATATATATATATAAATTATATTTATTTTGACTAAAATTACTTTAGGTTTGGTTTTATAACAGTCATCTTTTCAGGATCAGAAACTTGTTTTACTGTCTATAGAGCGCATACCTACAAAATAAGCACAATTTCTTTTTGTTCGCTATAATATAATATTTGACTAAACTACGACAATATAATTATAAATTTATTTAAACTAGTTTAGGTGAAACGGAAATCTTATAATAACAAAATTTGGGCAAAATGGGTACCTGGGCGAAACGAGTTCCGTCCTTATGTAGACATATGATGTATAATAACATATACGAGAAAGTAACACTTGTCTATAATGGTAAAAATTAATCGATGCACTATGAAAGTCAAATGTTTTCGAATAATAGTAATTTTCGAATATTTAGTTATTACCTTATTGTTTGTGCCGTTGATGTTCGGCCAACTTGAAGGCCGTGTCGTCCGACTCGCCCGTGGGCTTCACAAATCGTCTTTACCCGTGGACTATTTAAGAGCCAACAAATGTTACCACAGACACATTCATCACTGCAGAGTTGTCCATCCAGCAAGAGCAGCTACCGATAGCATTTATACATACATAATATTCACCCGATCTTCTCTCAATATGATGCAGTACAGTCAAGTAAGCAAATAATATAATATATGAAAAAAATCATTTATTATAAAAACCTTTTTTCGGACAGTTAAGTAAATCATTTTTTGTAATCATAAAATTAGGAATTTTCTATGTATTAATTTTTTTTATATTATGATACGATATCGACATAAATAAATCGATATAGATAGTTGAAAATATACTGTTGTGCAAAATTAATATTTTTAAATGTATTATTAAAAAAGCCTTGGTTTTCGACGTAATAAGATGAACGTGTGTTTTCTTTATTAACAACACAATGTTTAATAATTTCAACCCATCGATACATATGATTTGACTTGGTAATAATGAATAATAACTGCTGAAAACAATTATTATTGTATTATTTAATTGGAGTAGGAGTCCTATACATATTAACGGTTTGAAATGTTTAAAAATAGTGTTAAACAGAAAAATATACGTTTCCCGTAAGTAATTACCAAGAATCAATTATTTTATTATATAAGACGAAAATCTTACTATCATAAAACAAATTTTATTTAATCATATTTGGTATTTTTATTACATCAAGCCCATCTCCCGAAAAATAAATAAATATTTAGTTTTACACTATTTGATAATATTTTACAATATCTTGCTATTCGGAGGTGTATACACCTATAATTAATCATTTATCTTTAACTTTCATCTTTTTCTCGGTCCTATTATATTTTCAACTCCCCGGTCTCATTTTATATCGTCTTGTTCGTCTTTCAAATCAAAACCTTGATTTTCCCGAACAACTTTTAATGTCTTTTATTTTTACATGACTGTTGATCATTCATCTACTTATTACTCTCCTATTAATTGTTATTAGTCTATTGTAAGTGCTTTATTATTATTATGTTCTAATGTTCGACTTGCATCGAAAAAATAAATAATTAAAAATCTGATGTCCGGGATATAAAATCCAGATTTTCTAAAACGTCGCCCGTTCAACAGGGTAAGACTAAAAAAAAAAAAATTAAAAAAAATACTAAAAATTTATCAAGTCGACACACGGGCACGCTCAAAATACATTTTTATTCTTTCGCCTTACCTAGTCGTGAGAAAATTCGATTAAAATTTATCGCTATGATCGGAAAAGATTACTTTTCTCTCCCAATAATTTACGTTCAACGATCGCTCAAACGTCTAGCACACCGTTCAAACGCATTTGAAAATCTTTCATCCGATCGCGTAACCGCGTAACGACCCAACTCGATTGAATACGGTCTGTGACATTTCGTCGTTTCGTTTTCAGGTCGGTTTGGCGCTCCTGATGACGATCGCGTTCGTACTGCAGTGCACTTCGGCCGGTTCGCTCGGCTACAATTACGCGTACGGCGTTAACGACCCGTATACTGGCGACATCAAGGACCAACAGGAGTCCAAGAACGGTGACCAGGTTATCGGTTATTATCGGACCATGGATTCGGACGGTATGCTACGCACTGTTAACTACAACGCACACCCCAAGACCGGTTTCCGGGCAGTGGTCAACCGCGAGCCATTTTTCCCCGCGACGGTTGTAGGACAGCAGCCGTCCGGAGAATTGTCCGACGGTAGTCAGCGACTGGTGAACAACGTACTGCACAACTCCCCGATCGTGAACGATTATGCCCGATTGATCTGACGCAATTCTCCTGCACCAATCGCCAACGAACAACAATAATTATAAATTCCATCAAAATTATTGTCAACGTAGTCTTTTTTCGATATTTAGACACTCACCGCAACAATTTATAATAAAATTTAATTATTTACCACGCAAACTTGAGTTGTTTTATATTATCGTATCGTTTAGAAGACAAAAAACTCGTACGAAATAGTACGATATGACGTTCTGGCGGGATTAACAACGAAATACTATATTCGTTCGGCGAATGCTATCAGTGATCATTTTTTTTTTTTTTCCGAATGTTTGAAAATTGGAAAACTTATTTATATTCATGATATATTTTAAAACCTAACTACGTAATATTTGTGAAACTGGGAATGATAGCATTTAGATATAATGACTTTCTCCAGTAGCGTTGCCTAATTGGTAGTTATGGGTGGCGGGTTTACCGCTGGTTAATAAGAAAAAATATATATAACGACTTTACTTCTATGAATGTATCGACGATATGTTTATATTGATGAATAATTTTGTATTTTTAAATAATTACTAACCGTCACTGTTTTATGTGCTTGTGTTTTTTTAAAGACAATTGATACAAAAATGGTTTTTTTTTTTTTTTTTGGTTTTTGGCCTTTATATTTTAATAGGTTTTGCAAGTTTTTTAATTTGATTCGCATACTTGTCTTAGTATATACTGTATGTTGGTTTTGTCATGAATCCGGAAGGATTCTTGATATTATAGTAATTCTGTTCGTAAACAAAAATAAACGCCATTTTCAACAATACTATAGTCTATGATGAACGGAACACAATGAAGTTTTCCATCCATCCTACATTCCCACAACGAATTATCGTTGGCACGCAAACAAAATTCTTATTAATCTGTGCGTATAAAAATATACCACATAATAATAGTAAAACACCACTAAAATGTGATTAGAAAGAAAATTTAGACTTAAGAAAATAAATTAAGGAAATACTTTAATTTATACTTAATACTACATACTTTAAAGTCTAGCAGCGTTGTCTATGTGTGTACAGAGATTTCTGTAAAGTTATTCGATTTCAAAATGACCATATTATTATGATTCCAATACACTCGACATTGAAATCTTCGTGCGGTTAAAAAATAAAAGCGAATTGTCAATTCGGTACAGCATTAAATAAATACGGGTCTTCCCGTATATTCAATTTTAATCAGAATTAAATACACAATAAACTAAATTCAACTTATACCGAGTCAAAAATAAACATCTTGCCGAATAACAATTAATACATTTTACTATCGGTTGATTGTGTTAAGATGGTATCGAGAGAGTACATCTGTTATCGCATTGTACAATCACTGACTGTATTAATATTAAGAAAAAAAACGATTCAATGAACACAAAAAAAAAAAAAAAAATTTCCTTTTAAACAAAAAATACAATAATTTTCGTTTTAGTTCCTGTAATACATGGAAATCAAATATCCGTACTGGCCTTAAGATCCGATAGCGTATTACATCATTATTTTATCCAGAGGTGGAGAAGTCAGCAGTAGGAGATCTAAATTTTCCACGAATATTATACTCGAATTATATTACATTGTAACAACTGTTCTTGTTTTTGTTATGATATCATGCATTTACAGGGTTTTTGTTTCGACAACCATATAAAATTTAATGTATATATTTTAGTGTAATACGCGTATACTGTACGATCGATTATTATGCACCTCTTAGTTCTCCGTCTTGCAACTCACTCATGTGCGAATACATATTGTTACACTAACGGTTCAATTTTTATGTATACTGCGAATTTAACTGCGGGTATTACGATTTGAGCGCGTGGTGAGCCACCGTCTACGAATAGTACATTCAAATGAAAAATAATATCGAAATATAATCGAATTTTAAACGAATTAACTTGTAAAACAAAAGAGGAACGAATGAATTTGCTAAGTAAAATTGGAAAAATTATAAAAGAACCGTAATCTTTATATGTTTCAGAAGGTGGTTTATTTTCTGCGATTCAAAACGACATAATTAAACATTGAACACTTAAAATGATCCGTTTAGGTTTAATGAAATGGCACAAACTTAAAACCTATACTATAAATGAACATACTGCAGCTGATGAAGAACTAATAATCAAATTTTATCACCAAAAATAATTATTTGCAATTTATAAATTAAAAATTATTTTTCAAAGTATTTGAATTCGTTAATTTTGTAACTTCTTACGGAGAAGCATAATAATAAATACGGTGTTTTAAAAAAAAAATAAAGTTCAAAAAGTATCCATTAAAAATAACGTAATTTTGGAAAACAGTTAAGAATACACAATAGGTATTCCTCAAAAATAAATATATTAGAATTTATTTTGTACTGTTTAGTACAAAAGAGCTGGATGTTCATTTATGAACATTGTTTGAAACAATATAAAAAAATATTTAAATATAATCAATTGTTCTCAAATTTAACATAAATACACATTAATGTGTATATAAATTTAACATTAAACTTTCATGCCCAAAACATTTGTATGAATAAAAAATAAATTGATTTTTAAAGTGGAAAAATCGTTAGTATATAAATGAGTTAAACAAATATACTATATAATTATTTTAACAAAGACTATAAAATTGCTTAATTAATAAACAGCATTTTGTAAACAAACTACAGTCAAACTCGAACTTTTTCCTCCATCCCTAGAATTCCTTATATAAACAATGCGAAGAAATCTTGTTTAACTCGAATATTTTCGTGAATAACTTTAAGTTCCAAGTTTTATAATATTAAAAAAACATAACATTTTCCTCGTGTACTTATGTACGAGTATATTGTATATGCATGTGCAGATACATTATAATGAACTGAGGCGATTCATCTAAAATAAACCATAGGTCAGTGATGAACTATTCGAAGTTTTAAATAATATATAACGATTCACTGCAAATGTTGCGATCAACAGCAAAACTCAAACCAAAATATATACCATTTTTTAAATAGTTTTCTAACCTAATTTTTGTCATGCCTTTTCTAAAATTATACATAACATATACAAAATAAAAATTTCTCATACCACATTGTAATAAATACATAGGAATTAATATATTGTACCGTTCTAATAAAATACATGTATTGAAATTTTATTTGGATAAATCGAACTATTTTTCCAGTCACTTCAACTTCGAGTTAACCAAGTTCGATTGTATTGATAGAGGTTCACTACAAATACGTATAACAATAAAAATAAGAAAAATAAAACAATATATGAAAACATAAGTCTATTTGAACGACATACAGTTCAAAATGTTGAAAACAGCGGAGTAGGAACATTTGTCAATTTTAACGGGCACTAGGTACTCATAACTTCAAGTCATAAAAACGATTCCGGCGCCAAGAGGAATTGTACTGATGTAACAGTAAAATTGTTTTTTTTTTTTTTCACACCATTCAAAGCGCTAAAAAACACGAGAATCCGAAATCTTACAAACAGCAAAGGGTTTTCGTCGTTGTTCGTATACATGTAAGCACGTGCGCGTACGCGTGTGCACAACGGGACAGAAGTACGGCGAAGTCCGTGCAGTCGACTTCTTATCAAACGATGCGTTCGCCTGACCGTAAAACAATAACACGTGTTTGTTGTAATCGATCCGCGAACGGCAATAACCGTTTGATCGCGCGTAGCCGCTGACCTGGTTTACGCCAACCCGGACCGCGGGACTTGCGAGCGCGAAGATCGCGCGGACGATGTACGACTACGGAAATGTTTGCGCGGAAACGATGACGGACGCGATACATTTCCAACACTGGTTCCGCGCGCTCGCGCATTCGGCATCGTACACCGTAACGAAGCACGTGAGCACGTGCACGTTCGTGTTGCGCGCGTGTTTACGTGTGCGTAGACGGTGCGTTTTCGAGGGACGACTGAAACAACCCATTAACCGATCACTTCGGGCGACCACCGATGTCATGTGAATGTATTATACACCGGAGACGTATTTAGGACCGAGCGAGGGGCATCGATTTTCAAATTTTTATTTTCATAATACGAGTTATGTTATGAAAAGTAGACCACGTAAAGTCCCTAGATTATCTTTCTTTAAAAATCATATCAAACGTGTGTATGGGTGTCAATAAAGCTTTACCTGTGGTGATCAAACTCTAAATACATCTCTGTTGTACCCCGGTACTTTTCGATTTTTTTCCATCACGGGCCCCCTTGATGTAGATCTCTCAAGCCTATGGGGGAGGGCCCTGTGTTCCAAGCATTTTTTAAGATCGGTATTTATTTTTCTTAACTCTTTGACAAAATTACACGCAATAATTTACGTAGATACATTATTAAAATGTATAGTTAGTATGTTATTCAATATATAACTATATAAAGAACTATAAGACTGTAAAAATATGTTGAAAAATAATGTGACTTGTATATTTTTGTATAGTACATTAATCTCTGGTGTGATGTTGAAAGCAGCGATGCGCAAGTTTATTTCTAAAATTTTTTGTAAAATGCTCGATCTAAGAATATTTTTTATTATTTTGAGTTGTGAAAATAGATTTATGTCGAAGCATAAGGAATCGATATAAATAAAGCCGCTTTGAAACAAATGTATACTCTGGCTGTCATTTTAATCGAAATTCAATTGTTTTTTTTTTTTTTTTTTTTTCATGAAATTTGATTTCAAGGGTGGAGTATTCTATAATACTCGTATAAATTAATTCTTCTTTTTCAGTCCATAGGAAATAATTATATTTTAAAAATAAAGAAAATTGTATGTTTGCCCATTTGAATTTATAATTTTTATTTAAATTTACCAAATATTTAGATTAAAATTGTTACATTGGAGACCGTATGATCTGTTATTACACTTGAATCTAAGGTTTTTAATAAATGCTCCTTAACACGATTAAAATGATTAAATGATTAAAATTAAAATTAAAAAATTATGTAAACTCGTATCAATTTTGGTGCACCAATCATTAAATGTATTTGAACAAGAAGACAATTACTGATTAAATGTTTGAAGTATTTAGGGAAATAATATAGTAAAATATTAGTACTTTTACCAGGAAAAGATAGATTTGGTTCATTAACTTTATCGAAAACATCTGTTAAATTTGATGCTTTAAGATTCGATAGAAT